AAAAAAAAAAAAAAAAAAAAAATGGAAAATCCAAAGAAGAGACTGAAATCTTTATCGAATCACTTTGGATTGGCGCTGTTTCACTATGCACACGGGTCTTTGATTCCGATATTGTTTATATTGTTTCTGTATTTTATTAGCATTTTTTTCTAAGTAATGTGAGACAACTATATTCAATCGCATACATTACTATTAGTATTGTTTTCGATCACATGCCGGGAAAAAATATTCCAGAGAGATTGCTAACTAATAAATCAAAGCAAAATATTATTCCTCCAACGAGAACGGTTCGTGTTAAACTGATCAAATCTAATATTCGTTATATTCTGATACGTGTAATATATGAATATAGAATAGTTTTTTTTATTATATTCTCTTTACTACTATGAACGAATTTAATTTTGACTATAATTATAGCAGATTGTTGCTGCTTTTTGCCGAAAACAGTTCAAATGTAGAGTTTCGTTATTACATTTTCAATATATGCAAACGTCAATTTAAAATACTAATACATTATGAATAAATAACATTGTAAAATAAAATATGAATTTCACAAAAAAAAAAAAGTGCAACCTTGTCAGTCATCAAGTAAATCTACCGATAGTATTTTGTTGTCAATCGTTAACCTGCTCACTGATTGGCAGACATTTAAATACTTAAACGTTTTTTTTTTTCAGATATTACAGATCATTGAACTCTAGGTCCATTGAACTTCATAAGTGAAGATTTTATAATGCTGATAAGTTTTAAACATTTTACTTATAATGCTCAATTTCAAGGCATAATCGCACAAACACTGATTAATGTGATTTGTCACTTTTTACCTTCTACCGCCATCAACTAAATCCCAGGTCAGATAGCCGGATTGGACTAATAGCTGAAATTTGCCCGCAGTTGACAATGATATACCCTAGACACTGGTCGGAGATGGTCTACATAAATATACGTGTGCACTCGGGAATTTCTTTTTCGGACAATTCATTTCTTTACATTCCACACAAACACACACACATACACAAACATAGATGCCGCAACAAGTTTTGTGACTAAAAATAAAGAAAAGAAAAAACAACTGAGGCGAAAAAGGCAAAACTAATACGTCACCTTCACCAGAGTGAGTTGTCGTGATGGTTTAAATGGAAAACAGAGGGTTGGGTTGGGCGCGTGCATAAAAAGAAAAAAGGCGCTGTTTTAGATGTTTGATGGATTTGAGGTAAAAACTAAGAGACAACAAAATATGCGCGAACAGATATTTTCCAATCAGAATAAATAGATCTTGTTCGAGAAAACGCTTTGCAGGCGTTAAGTGAGTTGGTATATTGTCGTGAATCCAATAGCAAACATGAAAAAAATGACAACATTTGTTTGGTACATTAACAGAGAGAAGCGCACATACCGATTTAAAAAAAAAAAAAAACAAATTTTGTCATACAGCAATAATCAGAATTCCATGGCGTAGGTAGGTAGGTAAAATTGATGTATTTGTCAAATGTTTTGCGAAAAATGTGAATTAGTCTTAATGGTTTAAAAAAATGGCCTAATTTCTACGAAACAAATTATTTCGAAAAAACCACGACATTTTTTAAGCGACTAATGTATTGTATTTATGATTGACAAAGGCGTTTAGCTTTGATTTGTTTATTTCGTTCAACATGTTTTACCTCGTTTATTATGCTTAAACTGCAATAAATAAATAGCTTTTCTTGGTGAACCTATTTAAAAATAATGGCCTGATAATAGGAACTAAGAAAAACCGTGTACTAATTTTCGCAAAATCATAATTTTTTTAAATTGACTTAGCAAGTGCTAGTTTTCACTGGGTTCTTTATTATGTCTACTTAATAGGGGAGGGGGGGAAATATATAAATTATTGAAAAAAAATGTTTTTTGTATATTCAAATGTTGTTCAAATTTTGAACTTTTAATTTTCGTAAACAAAAAATCGCCATCATTTAAAATACTGAAAAATATCACTAATTAGTGTACTTTTGGAAAAAGTTTCAGTTAGACTGTTTGATATTTAAGGAGATATCATAATTAAAGATGAAAAAATGGGTACTATTTGTTATAGAGAAATGTTATCTATACTCTATAT